ATCACTAGGCCTGTTCGCACTCCTCCCTAATAAACTCCTAAGCGGGTTTGTTGGTGTTCCATGTCTCCTTCTCCCCTGCGTCAGATAATTTCAATTAGTGTTTGGCCTATTAATGCAGTATGTCTTCGTATCTATCTTTTCCAAATAAAAACTAACCATTGTTTGAGGATAATTATAGATACAATTGCTATTCACTATGCATAATCACCTCAGGTAACCAACCAGTCTAAAAGAGTGGTATTATTACCAACTTTATTCAACAAAACTATTAATATAGGTATGAGCAGATTTAATTCATTGAGAACAGATATTGAAATGACTGGGAATCCATTGTTGAGTGATATTTTGATTTTGTTCTGACAAATACAGCTTGCTTGGAGTCAGAGGGCAGAGCTAGCCACTAAGCTGACCTAAATTAATCATATGGAGTTGGAGGACTGTAGACATAAAGGAGACAGGGCAGAGAGAGGATCTTGGCCCATTTGGACAGAGGAATGGTAGATGGAAAAGGTGACTAGTGACTGATTCCTGCTACTCTGATCTTTCAGGTTCTTACCCTGATATCTGACTCCCAGAAATTTTTTGGGAAAGTGTACCAAAAAAAATTCCCATGAGCAGGAGAATTCAGCTTATAAAAAGAACTAACTGGATCCTTTTTCATATTGAAAGAGGAACACCAATTTATGGTGCTCCTACATTCTATACTGACGCAAACAAATCAGGAAAGGCAGATTATAAGTCAGGAAATTTAAGGAAAGTGGCTCAAAGTCTTTATGATTCTGTTCAAAAGTCAGAGTTATAAGCTATTTTCATGGTATTATTAGATTTTCCATAAACTTTTAATATAGTCACTGACTCTGAATAGAAATGCAGGTTAATAGTTTGTCATCTATTACAATCAAGCTTAAAGTCATGTTAGGTATGTTTTAAATAGATATATTTTAAATAGACAGGTATTCTTCAAACACTTCAGAGATCTACAGAATATGGCATTTAAGATGTTTTAATAACATAAATTTGTGTGTGTGTGTGTGTGTGTGTGTGTGTGTATGTGTGATAATGAGTCATTTCCATTCCTGGCAGCACCAGTCTACTTCAGAGAAGATGATGAGAATCAAAAACCTCCATATGGAGTTTACTTTCTTTATGGACAAAGTTAGCCATGTGTCAGGAAACTGTTTTGCCTCAATTGCTGATAGTTACTGTTCAAATTGAACAAGCAGGACACAAATGAAAGTAGCTGCCTAACTGTGTCAAGGCAAGGTGGAATAGTCCCCCAAAAGTCCTGCTAGAAAGTCTGTTAGGTATTCTAGGCCTGTAGGCTGAAGACGGATGCCCCAATGTTACAGAGGAACTCTGGGTGACTGTTCATGCAGTCAGCTGTTTGATATTTCTCACATTTTTGGAAGTAGTTTGCTTGTACTTCCTGTGTTTGCAGGTAATATTATTTCCTTCTCGGGTCTCTGAGGGAGTTAAAGACTTCCCTTGTTATAGTTTTCCTTGTTACCAAATTTGGAAAAGAAACTCACAAAAGAGGTGTAAAGTGTATAAGGTTGAGAGACATAAAAAGATAGTTTTGGGTTTGTAATGTAAGAAGTGAATTAGGTACAAAACTTTGGACTCACCAAGATCAATAATGGAGTATTTTCTCTAAATTTGCCTAATACAAATGGACTAGATGTTGTTAATCTTATTGTATATAGTTTTTCTATGTTAGTAAAACCTTTGCTTTTTATTTAGACAAAAAGATGAAATGTTGTATGATAGTTTTATTTTGTTCTGACAAATAAAGCTTGCTTGGAGTTAGAGGGCAAATCCAGTCACTAGCTGACCTAAATTAACCAGAGAGGCTTGGAGGACTGTAGACAGAGAGTAGACAGGATGTAGAAAGGCAGGGGAGAGAGAGGACCTTAGCCCTTTAGGACAGGAATGGTAGATGGAGGAGGCAACTGGTTGCTGCTCCCTGTTTCTTTGATCATTTAGGCTCTTACCTGATATCTGAGTCCTGATTTTTTTATAAAGATTAATTAGATTAACACTTCAATACATGTCTGTGTAAACACAGAGATGAAGCAGGACATAGACAAATCAAATTGTAGTACAGGACTGACAACCTTGGCCAATTCAATGATTAATTTATATCTTGATTTATAGAGTAAGAACATCCCAGCAGCATTCTATGTTGCATGAAAATACCAATGCTTTGTACACTTTTCTGATCCACTGTTGCATGCAGGGCATCAGGAACACCATGACCTTGGGTAAAGTGCGTCTCAATGGAGAACTCACTGAGGGAGTTAATATCTGAGACTTGTCTGCCATCCCCAGAGCTAAGAGTAAACACATCTATAGAGGGCAAGCTGTGTGAGGTATCTCTGGGTCTACCTTAGTCTCTAAGAATTTTAAAAACATGGTAACTAGTGAGTATCAAATATTTGATACCACATCTCAAAAGTTCACCAACTCGGGGGCTGGAGAGATGGCTCAGTGGTTAAGAGCATTGCCTGCTCTTCCAAAGGTCCTGAGTTCAATTCCCGGCAACCACATGGTAGCTCACAACCATCTGTAATGAGGTCTGGTGCCCTCTTCTGGCCTGCAGGCATATACACAGACAGAATATTGTATACTTAATAAATAAATACATGAATAAATAAATATTTAAAAAAAAAGTTCACCAACTCCACCAACCAGTCTATTTCTAACCATCCTTTCTATCTAATGCATCCGAACCAAATTTGTTTTGTTCTCAAAATAGCATTTTGGCCACTGCTCTGTGGGATCTGAATTCAGCACGTTAAGGGCAGCATCTAGGAATCGTTCATTTTCTAATACGTACTCAGGCTGATTGTAAAGAGCAGTTGAGTGTAGATGCTACTGTTATCAATAACATTAGTGAGGAAAGCACATACGTTAGAATGACAACTTTTTTTAGATGTGGGGTGGTGCTTCTTGTAGAGGCAATGGAATATTATTTGGATGAGGGTCAAAAAAGTTAGGGCTAAGAAGAGACGGATGGTACCTAACACTATTGCATCTAAGTTTGTGACTGCTGTTTTTTGAACACCTGGAGGAAATACTACAGAAAATAAAGTTGTTTTATGATTTACGAAAGTAACTGAGTCAACAAGAGAGTGGGATAATTCGCTGTGCGAGCAGCTCCTGGGGTTGGTGAAGATCATTTGCATTTAGCCAAATTCTCTCTTACTTTTTGTCATTCAACAAAAAACCAGAGGTTTGAGTTTTAAAGTTTGTGTTTCAAAAGCTGTTCCTAGTATACAAAGCATCACTTCTAAGAATGCAGCAAACTCTTTAACTGTGTGCATTGACATGGAAATTTACAATTTTCAGATTAAATGGGCACATGATTATGGTGGGATGCTTTGAGATAAAAAGCCTAGCTACTGGATAAGTTATAAACACAAAGCAATACAGACTGTCACTGAGCAATGCATTTCGGAATCTGGTTTCTTTAAATTCTTTAATAGAATAAAAACAAGAGTGAGATTCTGTGTCAACGTCTTAGCTAATAGTGCTTTTAGTACTCCCTGTTGTGAAGAGATAAAGATCCAAACACACTGATAAACTATCAAAATGGGCATCACATAAAATCCTTTAGGTGTTTTGTAAGATTTTTTTCAAGTTTTATCTATTAAATATAAACTCCTTTATATAGAAAAAAAAGTAATCCCTAGACTGGGAAGATGGTTCAGCCAGTAAAATACTTGTTGAATAAGAATGAGGACCTGAGTTCAGATCCCCAGAAACCACATACAAGGCCAGATAGGGTGGTGTCTATTTGTAATCCCAGTGCTGGGGAGTGAGCGAGAGATAAATGGGATTCCTGGAATTCATTGCCAGTTTGCTCTAGTCAAATTGACGAGCTCCTGGTTCAGTGAGAAACACTGTGGAAAAACAAAAGGTGGAGAATGACTGAGATAGAAACCTGACCCATGAACACATTCAGGAGACTGCACACAGCATGTCCACGCATTTACATGAACATTTACATACACCACACACACACTGAAAGCAAGAGAAGGAGGAAGAGGAGTAGGGTGGAGAACAATCAGAAGAATAGAGAATTATGAAGGTCTGCTCGTGACAGGCTTTATTTACTTCTTGTTTGCCTGATATCTTAAGCTTTAGGATGGATGATTAAAGATTTTTCTTTTAAACCTCCCAGGTGATTTTAGAGGGACAATGATTCTTCCTTCAACTGTCATGGGAATTCTGGGTAGAGAACAGGAATGAGTTGTATAAAATGCACCATAAACAGGGTGCATCCTTGGTCAGCAGTTCAGCTTCTAAGAGCTCCGTAGACTGTATTCCCTGGTGTGCTTGGGGTACATGGATACTTTTTGGCTAAGTTTCTTAAATCCAGGAGCAGTTTGTTCATTCATACTTGTATCTTCAGCCATGGTGGCTTATCTGTTTGGGTCAATGAATACACAATGACTACAATAACTGTCGTTTGACCTTGGACGGATTTCACCAGCCTCTAAGGGAAAGATTTCTCAATTTCTCTCAAAGACTACAAATGCACCGTTGATACAAACCAAGCCTTTTCATTTGGAATTACATAAGTTCCTATTGTTAAAAGCTAGTGATTAATTGTGGGCTGGGACCTCCCAGCCTCCCAGCTATCTCATTTAGAACTTTTCCATTTCCTACTTTACTGCTTAATCTAGACAACAACCACATACCAAAAATGGAACTTTCCTTTAATTGGTATTCACAATCTCATTTTGCTTAGAACTTTAATATTTTGAAAGAACACATGGCCAGTACTAATGGTGATCGTGTTCCATTGATAGACATCTACAGACTGAAGAACGAGGCCCTGTCCTCCTCTGTTGGTGAAGGGCATCCTGTCACCCATTCTCTCCATAACCTCAGAGAAGTCTTCACTGCTTTCATGCCAATGAGCATTCTCATCTTACCGTGTCATAGTGGGGGTGGGGGTGGGGGGTTCTAAAATATACTACACAGAAATATAATCACAAGTTATGAAAAGGGGACATGTACGCTTGCTATAGGTACTTTTACCATGAATTTTCCAACCCTGATTTGATCAAAATCTAAACCTAAAGGCCGGAACAATTTAGATTTCTTTCAAGTTTAATTGTTCACTTTGAGAAAAGCCTCAAGGTCTTGTAAGAATGGTAGCAGGGCGGAAGGAGAAGCAGGGACCCAGCTGCTTTGCACATCAGAGAGCCTGAAAGTGAAGAGCAGATTGGATGAGAAGCAAAACCACAGCCCAGAGTCTCTGTTCACTTGCTCTCACAGAATCACTCAGGCTCTTCAACCTGTCCTCTCCCAGCAGTTCTCCTGACTGTTCCCACAAGACACTGCTAGGGCAGAGAGTACCATCCAGCTCTGGAGATCCTTAAGGAGGAAAGGGATCCTTCTGCTCGAGGAGTCTGCCCCTGCCTGATAGGTGCTGAGAATGAAGACACCGCCTGCCATGCTTGGGATTCCAAGGTTGTTTAGCAAACTCTTAATTCTCCACGTGGGCTTCTGGAGCATCCTAGGTAAGGCACCTCCTAAGGGGATTTCTTGTTTTCTTCCTCAGTGTTCATGTTGGCGACAGTTTTCCTTGTTGAGCTTGCTCAGGGGAGAGGGATGCTTATGTCCAGCATACAGCTCAGTAGTTACCTTTGCTTCCTGAAAATGCTAGAGGGTGCAAGTGAACTTAGAATATGGGATTCACCTGCCTACAGAGCAAACACGGAATCCATACCTTGTCCAAGTTTCCTAGAAACCTGTCCTGATGGTAAGTAAAGATATTTTACCAGATGTTAAAAATGCTTAAGTACAAATTTGTCACCATTGCCCATGAAATCTCTCTGGCTGTCATACTAATGGGAAATAAATCTCATGTTCTCTCCACATGGATGTCAGCAGGAAGTCGTAGTGCTTAATTGCGTGGGGAAGGTGTTGGATACTTGAGTTCATAGCTGTGGCCATGGTTACTCTCAAATAATGTTCAATCTAAATACGTAGTGGGATGAACTACGAAAACACTGGACAAGCATCATGCTGTGAAGTAGAGCAGCGAGCGCTGGTGTTGTTTCATTGTTGAACGAGGAGATTCGTAAGCAGTTGCCAACTGAACATAGAAAGCAGTTTTCCATAGGTCATGCTGGCTCATCCCTACAAAGCTTTTTTGTTATCAAAACCTGCAGTTCTTCTTTGTCTTACCATCTCTCGACACTTTGCTTCTGCACAGCAACATGCCCTGGAGAAGGGGAATGTCTGTGGAGTGGTTAGCAGAGGTTTCTTTTTCCTCAGTTAATTCTGGGCTCAAGTATATTTTAAAAATTTTTCTCCCATCAAAACACAAGCATCTTTCATTAAAATTTTTTTTAATGATTTTATGTGCAATGGTGTGAAGGTGTCAGTTTTCCCAGGAACTGGATTTACAGACACTTATGAGCTGCCATGTGGGTGCTGGGAATTGAACCTGGGTCCTCTGGAACATTAGTAAGTGCTCCTAACTGATTAGCCATCTCTCCAGCCCCCATCCCTCTGAATGTGGGTGACAGTTGCATGGCTGTGGTAGACTGCGTTTTGAATTCTAGAATTGTGAACCTTAGAATTCAACTCTGATGTCACCAGACCACCTATCTAGGGGCAGAGTAAAACATCGCCTCAGTCATCCAAGCCCCTACTTATTAATGGTCTTCAGCTGGAGTCAAATATTAAACTGAATCTACTTAATTCTAAGAGATCAATTATAGACTTACCTCTGTGGAATAAAGGAAAAATTTAATTCTGCATCACAATTGGACTCTCCGCCACATTCCATTCTTCCACCCAGTATGCTATAACCTTGTATTCATGCACATAAACTTGGTTACAGAATTAGATTCTTTAGTGATTCTGCCACTTACATTATAGAGCCAGTTAAGTTTCTTTTCCTTTCTTAGCCCTACTTTTCATTTAAAAACATATAATAATTATACCTAAATGATGTGTCTTTGTTATGTCTGTACTGCCTAGCTATGGTAAGCACATGCAAGTAAAGCTTGATGAATGTTAACGGTAAGTTTGCTAATAGTTCTTTTCGTCAGTACCTCCCACAAAATCCAATTAGATGAGAACTAAGGTTTAACATAAGTACATTAAGTAGTTCTGATTTTAAACTTTTCATCATTTTTAAAATGTCAAATGCTATATGTATGTATATGAAGTCTGATACAGGTATATGTTTTAGAATGCTTAAATCAAGTGAACTAACTTGCCTATGACCTCACATACCTATTATTTTAAATTCATCCAGTTATTAATTTTAAAATAATAAGCTGCAGTTACGCTGCTGCGACTGAAACTTTTTACTTCTGACCAGTTTTGACTTGATGCTCTGTGATCAAGGTTTTCCTAATACTTGTTTCAAAGGTAAAATAATAAAATATGTTGTATAAATTTTTTAGACCCAAATGTAATGAATCAAAATATATGTAGAAAGTGAAACAAAAAGATTTAGACAAGCGCTGTCCAGGTGTCTTATACAGAAGTTGATAAGGTGGATTACAGTGCTGCTCGGGTTGAATTAATGGATTAGTGAATTACAGCATCACTCTGAATTATGAATATAGACTGGATGCTGGTGGTATGACTCAGTGGGTAACGGATAGAGGTGCTTGCTGCCAAACCTAAAACTTGACTTCAAATTCTGGGATGCACATGATAGAAGGAGAAAACCAATTTCTGCGTCCTGAAAGTTATCCTGTGACCTCTATACATGGGTTACACACACACACACACATACACACACACACACACACACATACACACACACACATACACACACACACACACACTAAATAAATAAATGCAATAAAATAAATTTTAAAAGAATATAAACTAAGAAAGGAGCATAACACTAAATAAATAAATGCAATAAAATAAATTTTAAAAGAATATAAGCTAAGAAAGGAGCATCTGGTGAGGTTTGAAAGTGAGGCAGTGCTAGAGTGCTTGCCTAACTTTCGTGAGAGCTTAGGCTCTGTCCTCAGCAACCTGCTGTGCCCTTCCTCCAAAAGAAGTAAAAAGTAATCTTTGGTAAAATGTATGATTCTGGACAAAACTGATGGCAGTTCCAGCCCATGAAACTATACTAATGGCATAAAGAGCCTTTATATCTTGAAGAATTCCTATGACTTTCAACAACTACTGAGTAAAGTAGTATGTTCTCAAACGATTTAAGGATGGGTTAAACATTTCCCCCAGTTATAGTTACGTAAAATGATCAAGAGCTGTGCTTTTTATGTTTCTCAAAAATTGAAAAAATAGAGGAACTCTTCCCAGTTTCAAGAATGTCATTTCTCTCTTGCTGGAAATAGAGTACAAACACCTGTGTCTCATGAGACTAGGAAGTTCTGAGTGCAGGTTCTCAGAGATTGCTCCATCTTTGAGGGTCTGAACCACTCATTCAGTTGAGGCTCAACTGAGGACTTCAACTTGTGTGTGTGTGTGTGTGTGTGTGTGTGTGTGTGTGTGTGTGTGTGTGTGTGTTTGATCTGGAATAAAGGAGGCACAAAATCTTTGATTGATCATTGTTTATTGTAATAGAAATAGGCCCAGTAAAGGGATAACATTTAAGGTCTGGTTCCTTTGAGAACACAGTGGCTAGAGTCATGTTGCCTGCTTGGCCTTGCCTGTGTCTCCTTTCTCCTGAAGGTGAGCATTATGATGTTCCTGTGTGGAGCCACTTTTAAACTGGGTCAGAGCACTCATGCTCCAAGTCAGTCTACAATCCCTTGACAATGTAGCATGTCCTCACCTTACTTTACGATGTTTTCAGTTTTAAATTTTATTTATGTTGTATGTATGGATGTATTTGCATCTGCATGTTGTGCGTGCCTGTAGAGTCCAGAAAAAGACATTGGATCCTGGGGAGCTTCAACTACAATGGTTATGAGCTTCCTGAGATGGTTGCTGGGAACTGAACTTGGGACCTCTGGAAGAACATCAAGTGCTCTTATCTGCTGAGTTATTTCTCCAGTCCCTCTCTGTCTCATCTTCATGATTTCAGTATTCCTGTTGAAATGTTCACATGAAATACTGGAAACAGAGCTGCATCTTTCCCCAAATTCCAAACACCTTTTGTGTATCAAAAGGTATCTAGATACTTATGCAAATACCTAGAAATACTTTCCTATGCTTCAGGATTTCCTGGATTGAGCACAATCAGATTAAAGTATGTGCTGATTGCCTCCTTAAATTGACTCACTAGCATCATAGGGCTCTTTACGCTCCTGTGACTTCCTTTACCACAAAATAAAATTTTCCTCTTTTGTATTACTGAAGTTGAAACTATTGCCAAACCTCCACGGGACTTTCCTACTTAACTTACATTACCTGGATGCTTTTCTGTAACTTGGAGTTTAAATTTGCTGAAATAAAATGTTGAAAACTATTTGTAATCAGGTTCATATGATGTGATTGACTTTTTGCTTGCTTTATTGAACAATCTCTGTTGTGCAGTGGTTAAGGATGGGTATATAAAAATAGCTTTATCAGTAGACCATGGCTGTTATTGGTTATAAACAGCAGCTCTAGTCCTCAATTCCTCATCTGACAAAAGAAAACAGTCATGTGTTTCATTGAGGTGTTATGCCGACTAAGTGCCTCTTTTTTTTTTTTTTTCTGGACAAATACCAAGAACATTGAAGAGCATAAATACTGTGTCAATTTAGTTAAGAGTGATTATTTGTTATTGTTTTCTTTTATTTCAAATTTTAATTAGTTTTATTGTTTTCTTAAGTGATATTTCCTTCCAGGCTAGCTCCATGTCATCTGTTAACATCTTCAGTTGGAATGAGCGCTAACACACTGTGAGTTACTCAGCTTCTCTCACAGTGTCAGTAAGGAGAAGCATTTGTGATTTTGTAATTCACTTTTCTCAAGTTCTCAGTTCTCTTACCTTGAAATTACTTAATATCGTATCCCTGTCTTATTGCTCTTGCCCTTATGGTTTATGTGTTTATCCCAGGATAGGATAGGAGTGTTTCATGTGCTTGTGTTTGTGTACATGTAGGGATGCCATTCTTTGCATCCTCAGAGTCTGACATGACATCCCTGTTAAACACAGATCAGGGAAATGTCTGATAGACCAAGTAGGACAGTCACAAACAAAAAGAAGTTTATCTGGTAGGTCTCTCTAATACCATTTCCTCTTCCCTAACTGCCATGTTCATCCAGTGAACAGCCTGGAATTCACACCTATCACAAATAGTCTATGGCTCTGAAAACATTGGCAGGAGAATCATTCAGATTTTAGCTGGATGGTCATGGCTCGTTTTATTTTCTTCTGTAATATTAGAAAAGGAAAGTGAACTCTGAGGAACAATTGGCAGTTTTGTTTTGTTTTCCCACAAACCGTGTTTCCCACAGGTCAACCATGTCTGGAGCTTGAGAGGCACCGAAGTTTAGTGTGTTGTATTAGGGAAGTGAAGAAGTATATTGCAGGGAAATGAAAGTAGACTTCACTGTACCTTTCTGACATAACAAAGTCTTACTGAGCATCACAAGAAAACACCATTCCCTGGCATCTTTTGTAAAACACAAACTGGTTTCTGATAGAATGAGAGAAGCTTACCAAACACTACTGTCAATGACTTCTCTTCCTGAAAGAGATCTATGGACCTGGTATCTCTGGAAGACGAGGCCCACTTATACCAGGTGGTCAGGGTTCCCTTGACCAGAAGCACCTGTAACTTGTCACCATGAATCTTTCTTCTCTGGAGTCACCAAAAGTTTTCTGTTGTCCATTGGAAATATTTACATGTTATCTTCCAACCTAACTGACAGACACTCACCATTGGCACATAGGATGGACAAGGCTTCACGAAGTGGCATGCATGGGAACCCTAGCTGCGGAGCAAAGGCAATGAGCAATAGGGTTGAAGGTGACATGAGGTGACACTTGCCACCTGGTAGACTTACAATGAAGTACCAAGAACCACCTTGGAAAGAGAGCCAAAGCTCTTTAGTTTGTAGCTGTGGCAAGCTTTTCTGGTCAGTCTTATTCCATAGATTTCTATTTATATGAAAGCATTACATTTTAGACAACATTCCATTTTTCAATTTCTCTATTTGTTTGCCTGGCACAGATCCCCTCATAACAGACCACTGTTAATCTCTTGAAAGTAGCTAGGGTTCACTTTTCAGAACAGAGGTACTCGGGAAGACCTTTGAAGTTTTGTTTTGGCTGCAAGACTTATAGTTTTTTTTAATGACTTTTGAGAATTACTCAACTTATATGTCAGTTTGTAAATCCATTTTTTAAAAAGATTTATTTATTTATTATGTGTACAGTATTCTCAGTACAGATCTCATTACAGATGGTTGTGAGCCATCATGTGGTTGCTGGGAATTGAACTCAGGACTTTTGGAAGAGCAGACAGTGCTCTTAACCGCTGAGCCATCTCTTCAGCCCGTAAATCCATTTTAATATAAAACTTGTAACACTTGTCATTTATTATTGTTAAAATATAATCTAAGTATAGTGCCAAGAACTTTTCCTACATATTCCCATTCACATTAAATTTTTGGATTACAGCCTATGCCTTAGAGAGAGTAGTGAATCTGGGTTTAAATTCTCATCCTGAGTCTGTCTCCCAAAAGCTGGTGACCTATGATAGATGGCTTATTTGTTCTAGGATTCAGCTTAAATGCAAAGATAATACCAGTGATTACCTCACAATAATTATTGTGATGGACTGAAGTAACACTCTGAGTGATTCCTTAATTAGGATGTTTCAACTTGTAAATTATCAAAAATTTACAATGATTTGTAAGTGATATGAAATCAGTAGAAAATACACTTCAAACTTTAAATGTTGCTATTTTCCATGACTAGCAATATGTGTTGTGATAGCCTTTAGCAGTACTGGCTACGTCCCTACTCAACTATGCAATCACTAAGGTAAATGGCCAATACCATCCAGTATACCACGTTGCCAGCATTTTTGGCTAAGTGTATTCTAAACTTACATGAAGGACCAAAACTTCACTATGAAAGAGACTTTAGGTTAGTTTACTTGGGATAACTGCAGGCTAATCTATTTTGAATAAGTTTAAGGAAGGCTAGGCTCAGATGTGGTGCTTGGTAGACTAGGTTTACTAAATGAATTTTGGCTTACAATAATGTTAAATCATGATGGGTGTATCAGCACATGATTCTACCATAAGGAGTACTTCCATATATGATGCCCAACAGTACTTAACACATAGCAAGAACCTGAGAATTGTTTGTCATCTTTCCATTTGCCTGTTTTTGCCCTGGATCTGGGAAGGGTGTGTGCACACTGATAAGGAAGGGATAGTGCAGTGTGTAACTACATATGAATGAGTAGAGGAGGTTCCAGAAATACCTGCTAAACACCTTAAACTGCACATATGCTGCCTGGATGACCTCTCAGGTCTCTGCTTGTCCTACTTTAAGTATTTCTAGGAGAGGAAATACCACAGGCACCGTTGAGTATTTAAACACAAGTGGTATTGTATTGGATGCGCTTGTCCTATACAACTAAATTTAAGAGATAGTCTTTAAATTCTTTCCCAAAATGACATGTCACAGTAACTATTGTACACTCTAGCCCTAGAGGAAACTATGTTCTTACAAAAATATGAAATCAAATTTAGATGTTTCACATATAATTATAGAGATGTAGATGACTTAAGAGGAAAAATAATAGATGATTATAAAATTTCTTTCAATTTTCTTATTTCATGGTCTCTGCTGTGTTTTAAGTGATGTGTGAATTCATGCCACGTATGTGCTTCACATGGAGCTAATTCTTTCCTGGTCCATTTCACAGCAGCCTCAGTTTTGTTGTAAGTTATGTCTCTGAGACCAAGACACAGGGTTTCTTCCTTCAACAGTGATTCTTTTCCAATCACAGTTCAGATTTTAGCTTAGAAGTCTATGCATTGCTGTCATCCACACTGCTCGAGACGTCCCCAGAATCTCTGGGAATATCTTAGTTATGGAATAGGTTCACGTACCATAAAGTAATACATTTAGCCAAAACAACAAACCATGAGATGAGTGGTTTCTGAGCGGAGTGCAAATCGCTCACTACAGTTTCACATTACCGCGGTTCTAATTTTGTGGCTGTGGCAACTACCTTAGGGTGGGAAATATAATACTGTGCCTTTCTGATGTGGTGCCCGTGATTTTCTCAAGTGTCTGGGCTGATGTCATAGGCTGGTTAGTGTAAAATTACAAGGATGTGCATGAGTTAGGTGGAGGCCACTACTTCAAAGGATTCCTACAGCCCTGTTTTCCAGGAAAGATGTATATCTTTCTTTGTCTCAGTTAGTGTAATATCCCTCCACCCTTCATCACTGCTAAGCTTTAAGGTAAGCAGATTATATTATCAAATATTGTCTAGAGACATTTCCTCCTGATTGTAAATATTTAATTATTAATACACCATTGGTGATAATTTTATTTTTCTGAAATAGTTTACATTTCTACATTCATCTCTGATATTATAACTCAAATGAATCCAATCTTCATTTTTTCACTAATTTCACTTAATAACTATGACCATTTTTGAAGTTTCTATAAATTGTAAGAATTTTTCGATGAAGGCTTGGTGATTGTCAGTTGGAATTTGCTTTAAAATAATAGTTATAGTAAAGGCAAGGCAGTTGAAATAATTATAGAATATCATAGAGCCTGTTAAGGATTGGAGGTGGCATCGTGAGGACAAGACCCCTGAGTTTCCCTAGGGGTTGGGTTACATCCCTTTTCTTTCATGAAACCTTTCTTGACCAACTCAACCAGAAGAACTCTCAAGGATCTGAAAGGTAGGAGATTATGTCATATCTAAGATAAAAAGTCTAACTATAAAATTCTATTAGAAACCATCACATTCCTAGTGATCATAGGCACTGGGATGTCTATACACTTAGCTTATGGATAACAAGAAGACACAGTATTCATACTATCTATTGCTGATTATCACCATGTATGAGAAGTTCTGAATAATGTCCATGGTAAGACATTTTCCATTAGCATATTCTTGGTTTAAGTTCTAACTAATTAATATGTTACCATTGAGTTTTAATAATATGTATGTAATTTGTAAACTAACATGTTTGTAATATTTATCCTCAGCAGAAATTTCCCTCGACATGAAAGTTAACTCAGAACTGCCTAGCTGTGGAACTGGCCCTGAGCACATATGAATTCAACTGCTTGTGCTCACTTTAAGCATGAATTATACTCAGGATCAGTAGAGTTTGATACTGGCCAGTATCCTTCATTCTTTGTGATAGTACATATTCCTACAACATTTGTTTTTATTTTATTTTTCTGGTCATTTGGTTGATTATTTCCTTTTGTGATTTCAGAATAGATATTTTTCATATGGAGATAGAAGTTCTTCAAAACAATAATAACTCATTGGTTAGACAGTAGCTGGCTATCTCTTTGTGTGTACAGTTCATATAGACTATAACACATGAGTAGCTTTTGGAAGAATTTTTTACAGGCTCCTCCACTTCTAGTGGCTCACAAAGATATGTCATATGAAATCCTGATGGTGATGGATATATATTTTGTCTTACTACATGTGATTTCATTATTCTTCATTGAAAATTCCATATCAGGTATGAATGTTTGAGACAAGCATCAGGAACAATAATACCAAGGACAAAGTGACTGGGAGTTGGCAGATAAGTCAAAGCCAAAACCAGCTGTGATTATCCCGTCATCAGAGAATGTTTGCTTGAGAAGACAATCCAGCCCAATGGTAGCTGTGTGCATCGTGCGTGTCACATAATTGATTGGCACATGTCGAGGCAGGCAGAAAGGAATTGTCAACATGCTTGCCAGACAGAAAATGAGGACTGTGACATCTGACTCAGTGGATCATTCTCGATCTACTAACATCAGTTACAGGCTTTGAGCTTAGGAAAAAAAATCTTGCCTTATTTGCACACATACTGATTATTCCTGATTTCTAATGCTGTAAAAGCATTCATCTTCTATTTATTCTAATATTCGAGAAAAAGTTATATGCCAGCTAATGTGATTGTCAATCACCTTTATCCTGCTCAGAAAAATACTCAGAAGCCACAATAAGGTTTCTGTCATTGCATTCCAAATCAGTGACACAGTCAGGGCTTTTCTGTGTGTATTTTGTGTGCTCCTCTCAAGTGTATAGACACAGAATACTAAAGATAGACTGTGCTATTAACATGAGGTAACAGTTCTCTGGCTGAATGAAAGGGTTATACATTGCAGCAGAGACAGACTTTGTAAACTAGGATGAGTTTCACAGTCATACATTGAGGGAAGTGAAGGCGTGTGTGTGTGTGGGCGCGCACGGGCGCCCATGTGTGTCTGTTTTGAGAACTGACACGTAAGAACTTTCCTATTTTTATAGTCGATGTCTATCTCAGTTTGAAGAAATTGAGATCACTGAGATTGTTCCAATGGCTCTGTTGAATAAATGCTTCCATTTTTCACGGATTCCATGCTTTCTATATGTCTACCCAAGTTGGACATCATATTTTTTTCTTTGGGGGCAGGAGAATTTTAATGTTCCCCAACAGTGCTCATCCTATTCATTCTGGAATAACCAATGACCTTTATCATGTCCAGAAAGTCATGGTCCAGTTGTGTATCAGTTCCTGAATCTGCTGTGAGACTATTCAACTATTGAGAAGCCTTTCTTTTCCTCCTCTGCCAGACTCCAGTACCTCAACAGTCTCAACTCTGATGGCCAAGGGCTTTTCCTCCGCTGAAGGGCAGCTCAGCTTCCAGGAAAGCAAGCCAGCAGCCCAGGCCAAGTGCTTCGTGCCTATGCACAGCGTGACTCTCCCATTGTTGGGCACGATCATTTCCCATGTGAAGGCCAATTCCACAAAGACAGACCTCATTTCTAATTCCTATTCCCTCTAAGAAAGAGTGCACGGTACTCCTCCTAACCTTGCTTTCAAGCTTGACTACATTTGAGGAGAAAAAGAGTAGTACATAATAGATTTATTTAGAAAAAGTCCTTATCATTACATAATTGTCGTATGAATCAAAAGTAAGCTCATTGAGGACAACAGGCCTTTGACCACGACAGCCTTGCTGTTCACAAGTACTCAAGAGAATTATAAAGGGAAGTGAGGAGACTGTGGTCTCTTAACTTAAGAGAGGAACGGACTTTGGAGACAAGGTTTCACTTGGCCTTTCCACCTTTGGTTTCCTTGCTTTTTGCTGCAAATCTGACCACATCAGGTATTGTTCTGTTAGGCACTTCCTTTTGGTCAGTGACCTTATCCTTTCTCTTCAAGTTTTTGAAAACCTCACCCTTAGAACTTTCATTTTGTTTTGCTTACAATCTTACTCTAAAAAAAAAAAAATTGAAGCACTGAACCATGACATCTTGAAGTGAAGTTGTCTGAGAATCCAATATAGTTACAAATAAGTCAGTTATCGGAGATGCTGAAAGTCCTCTGCAGGTCCCTATTCTCTACCTGACTCCGGAGAATTCCATCAATTTTCAGTTGTTCTAAGCAAGTGTTGATGAGATTTGGGCAAAAGTTACAGTGATAAATTTATTGTTATGAAATAGTTAAAATAAGGCCCTAAGCATTCCTCATCTTTGAAGAAAGCTTTGACTATAATCTCATTTGGCATCATTATAGTCTGTGATTCCATAAATCTATTCAGAAAAGTACTTGAATATGAAAGTTAGTGAGGACGTACAGTACGCTTAATGCCATGAAATAGAATAATTCAAAACTAAGAGTCTGACAAAGAGGCACACTCCATTAAACTAGGGAAGCAGAGGCAGAAGGATCTTTGTGAGTCTAAGGCCAGCCTGGTCTGAAGAGTGATTTCCAGGACATCAAGGGCTACATAGTAAGACCCTGTCTTAAAAATTCAAACCAAAACGACAAAGCAGCCTAACAACAACAAACTAAGAACGATTCATAAGGATGGAGGAGAAAGAACTTGAAATACTTTAAGACCCTGTGTTTAGCCTCGTCTTTAATGTAAAAAGAAGAAGAAGAAAAGTGACACAAAGTATATAACAAAAGATATCTTTGTGTGTTTGCTTATTTTGTTTTACTGGCTTAGGGAATCCCATCCAGTAATTTCTAGATGTGGCAGACATAGCAATCCTAATATGGAAATGAGGCCCAAAAGGTTCTAAAGTTGTCATGATCATGATGATCATGGTCCTTTCCCAAAAGGAACAACACAGCCTTTCAGTTATGAATGAACACGTACACATGAGTGTTTCCTGAGAAATTGGAGCTTGTAATTTTGAAGCCAGTTTCTATTCCTAAATACCCATGCTGGTTGAATATTTTGTGGACAAATTGCACATGTATTTGTTTCAAGGCAGGGGTGTAATTAAATAGTTTTAAGTTTTATGATTTTTGTGTTTTTAATATAATACAATTATAGGTTAATTAAAATGGTATTAGTAAATGTAATTACTGGCTAAGAAGTAAATCAAACAAAATAATGGTACATGGTAAAGACCTCATTATTACTTTAAAGTATCAATTTTTCTAATTATTAGCATACAACCATGAACAAGTTCTTTAGTATTTCAACCTCCTCCATAAAACTGAACTCTTAATATTATTTTCTGGGGGAGGATGAAACTAATTAACTAATTGTTTGTATGTTTGTTTTTTTGAGACAGGGTTTCTCTGTGTAGCCCTGGCTGTCCTGAAACTTGCTCTGTAGATCAGGCTGGCCTCAAACTCAGAGATCTGCCTTTCACTGCTTCCAGAGTGCTGGGATTAAATGTGTGCACCTCCAGCACTCTGTGAAGCAATTTATTTTTAAAGCAAATATTGATTATGTGCCAGCTATGCACCACACTGAGTTAGCGAAGATAAAGGACTGAAAAATAGTATTGAGGAAAATTATGGAATTCTGCCTGAGAAATCTTTGGAGGAAATAATTGCTGTGGTATCTATGGTTCTTCGAGAAGATCATACTCATTCCAGTTTTCCTTTTGTGTTTTAGGTGAAGAGTCATGTACAGTACAACTTAGAGTTCTCAGGCATTCGGAACATGCCACAGTGGGAGAGTCCTTTAAAATGAAATGTCCCGTGACATATTGTGCTCAGAGACCTAATGTGACTTGGTGCAAGTACAGTGGAAAAGACTGTTTACCTCTTGAGATTGGACCTCAGCAACATACTAGTTGGGAAGACGAGGACCAGGCTCCAGCTTTTACTCTCCATTTTGAATCAGTATATCCCAGTGACAATGGGTCATATGGTTGTTCTGTAGACTTTACTTCTTATGTTATTAATAGCAACATAATAGTCCTCCATGTGACAGGTGAGTGCTCTATCCCAGACCATCTATATAGCTTTCCCATCCTGTTGCTGTGAAAGAGGCAATCCCGACTTTCAGACACTTTGGTTAAAAGTTGGAACAGTTGTATCAGATCCACAGTCTACCTCGTCTTCCAGGCTGTGACAGTAATGAGGACATAAAGTATTTGTGTAGGGGGAGAGAAGGGTGGGGTCAAGAACAGTAGAGGGAAAATAATGGGAGTTACTGGTCTTTTTGAGACAGGGTCTGAGACTGCCCTGGAGCTCTCTTTGTAGCCCAGACTGTCATGGAACTCACAGAGATTCATCTGCCTCTTTCTTCCTAGTGCTTGGATTAAAAGTATGTGCTGCCACAGCAGGCCAGTTCTTGACTGTTCTTGTCGCTAGAGATTAAAACATTTACTTGACAAGTTCAAAAGTGATCATAATGATATCGTTTTCTTTTTTCTTCATTGTTTTCCTGGTTTTTGTTGATTAGAACTTGTAGAAGTTATGTTAACATAAGCAGCAGATTTGTAGTATGAATAAACAAAGAAATTAAGATGTAAAAATACCCTATTGTAATCAGCTTGGAAGACTCATTATTATAATGATGACACACCACAAGATTGGATGTCATCTCCAACAAATCAAACTTAATTCTAAAATTCACATCATATTGTGTAACAGACCCTGAGTAGCCAAAATAATCTGCATAAAGAAGAAAGATTTCTCTATTCCCAATTTCATTATTAAAATATAGCTACTTAAATACTGTGGTGAGATCAACATAGAATTGAGAGTGTAGAATAAAATTCTGTCTATGGATTTATTTATTTCTACGATTTTTATAAATTTCTATTATTTTTATTTTCTGTGCATGGGTGTTTTACCTGACAAGTATGTCTGTGTAACCACATACATGGCTGCTGCCTCTGGGACTGGAATTATACATGGTTTTGATCTACCATGTGAATGCTGGGAATTGCACCCAGGCCCTCTGGAAGAGCAGGCAATGCTCTCGACATCTGAGTCATCTCTATAGGCTCTCAGTTTACTTTCAGATGTTGTTTTTTTTTTTATTTTTGTTTTGTTTTTTGAAACTGTGTTTCAGTGCGTAGTCTTTCCTGGCCTGAAACTCGCTGTGTAGACTAGGCTGTGCTGGAGCTCAGAGATCCCCCAGCCCCTTTCTCCAAATACTGGGCTTAAAGGTATGTGTCACCTTGCCCAAGACCCTCAATTGGTTTAAGTATAGGAAATTAACCTACAAAACGACTTTTACATCAAACCATAAATCTACAAAAAAAACTAATCCTGATCTTGGATTTTGTAATTATTTCCTAGATATTATTATAAACGCAAAAGAACAGCACAAGCAGACAGAAAAGACTGTCACAATTCAATATATTTCTGCATCAAAGATAATCATCACGAGTGAAAAGGCACATCACAGAACATGAGAAAGTGTTTGTGAATCGCATGCTTCGTGCGAGACTATTGCCCAGAATACGTAATGAGTCTCCGGAGCTTTCTCCCTACCTTCTTGGATCACTTCAGGGAGGAACCTTTCCAAGCTGAACAGCGCTACTTTCTGTTGCCCCATCTTTGTGTGTGTGCATGTGCATGCAAGTACACATACATGTGTGCATATATGTGTCTGCACATGTGCATGTGGAAGGCAGAAGTTAACAGTTGGTGTCTTCCTCAATTGCTTTCTACCTTATTTTTTGAGACAAGGTTTCTTGGTGAACTTGGGACTCGATGGAATTGTTAGGCTGGCTAGTCAATGAGAAACTGAGATGCTCCTGTTGCTGCCTTAGCACTGGATTAGAGACAGGCGCTGACATCTTTTACCTCATATGTGGACACTGAAAATTCAGCAGAGGTCCTCAAGCTCACACATGTGACCCATCTTCCCAGGTCCAGCCTTATCTCATCTCCATCATCATCATCATCATCATTGCTTTGCCATTCCCATCTATTTCAGAATATCCACTTTTATACCTATCACAATTATCCCTTTCCTTTATAAGGTCTATGTCCCTCATTCATCACACATTTCCTTTCCCTGTCCATTATATAAAAATATGTCCAGTTCCATCAAAACTTATAGTACCTTACAAAATAGAAATCATATCTTGCTTTTGGGGATTGTTGCTCTTTTGTAGAAATAAAATACATTTTTTTAGGATTAGTTTAAATTTTAGCTAAAAATATAGTCTTCTTTAGGGAAATGGGGATTACCGGGGAAGAGGGAAAATATTCCTTTTATTTTTGAACCCAAGAGTACTCAGGGAACTGCCTATGAAATGTGGAAAGAAATATGTCCTGGAACTATAACAATTCTTATAATTAGTAAAATTTGGAGATACGATAAAAGTATTTTGATTGTTCCCCCTTGAAATATCTTTCTGAGGGAATACTGGGAATGCCCCCATTTTTGCATACAATTCATTTTTGTTTTTTATGTTCATAATAGAAAGTGGTTTGTGTCAGAACCAATGTGGACAGAAGGAGGCTCGGGTATTCTTGAGAAAGCATTTGTCTCCTAGAATGAGGAAAAGCATCCTGTGAAACAAAGCAGAGCACAAGGAGATTGTCTTACAGAGCCAGGAACAGCCACCCCAATATATGCATTGATTTATAGGTCTGTGTGCCTCAATTGTCCTAGGTCAGTTTCTGATTGGGGACATCAGATGTCCCAAATGACAAATGCAGAGGTCATTATCTGTGCAGGAAGATGCGTGTTGTGTGAGAATGCAGGAAGTGAGAGGCACAGTCTTTGTTTCAAAATGAACACCTAGGATCTCACCCAGAACTTCTTCTTCCTGTCGTCATCCAAAGTCTCAGGAGCACTTGGGGCTTGAACGTTTTGTTATACTGCAGGTGTCAGAGGTCACACATGGTCTATCTGTTCATCTACCCGAAGAACGAGGAGGAGAGAACCAAAGAAGTCAGAGGAAGGTTATACTGTGTTGACAGTAGTCTTTCTTTAAGCTTGAAAAGAACTCCTTTGCTTTGTGTGCCATGATCTCAGGGTGAAGTTCCGTGAATTATGCATGCTGAACCTGGCCTGGATTATTAGATTCTCTGTTGTGGCAACATTGGAGTCCTTTCTAAATAACTCTGACCTTAGAGATACCACCTTAGTGTTTACGCAAGCCATTTTAATACTTAATCTTATTTTCTATTTCAGAAAGGACTCAAAATTATTCAGAACACCATCTAACAAGTAAGTATGAAACCGATCAAAATTAGCAAGTTTGTTTGATGATCAGATAAATAATGGAAATAAGGTCTTCTTAATTGGGTTTGTTTGTATTAGATTCTCTATTGTTTGCCATCAAACTGCCTCCCCACAGACAGCTGTGTTTGCTTCTTGGCTGCTTGCCCAACCTAAACAGCAGCTGCAATACATTTGCCTCCATTCTGTACCATTAAACTATGTGCTCACTGTATGTCCTCCTTAAATTACTCCTGATTGTTTGTAACCTCAAAGAAAGGATCTAGGGTCTGGGAGGGGGGAATGTCACACATACAGTTCAATACTTCATTGCTTTTGACAAATTGTTAATAGTAACCCCAAAGAAACAGTGTATCTTACATCATAACCCAGAGTATACACACATAAAAAGCAAATCCACAAAATCCATAGACAGTGGAGTTGTTTGATTTCTGTGCTATGGGAATGGAGGAGTGCCCTGTGTGATGCAGGGGGTTTATCAAGCCCTGGAGCTCTCCTTACTGGACGCGGATCCTCTCCCACACTGTGATATCAGAAGTGTCTCCCAAAGCTACCACGTGTTTCTGGGGGATGAGAAATTTTCTGGTTGAGAACCACTGCAGCAGTGTGTCTTATGAATTCAGATTATTTTCTACCTTGTTTTATATTATTTAAAAAAAACTAATTTTGATCCACAGAGCTGTGTCACAACTTATTTATAAGCTAAAACCAACCTTGATCAAACAGGGATCAGTGAATGTTCACACAGGTCAGTCATAATGAGCACTAGCTAGATGCTAAGCAAAGCATATTTGGTAAAAATGAAAATATTTGTTGTTTGGAGATAACGATAATTTACAAGAGGGAGCAAATGTGTAGCATCAGGAACCTTCTGGTGTGAGTCCCAGCTGCCATTCATGAGCTGTTCGCCTTTGGGCACTATTCAGAATAGTAACATTCCTTTCAAAATTTAAAACTGTATAAAGAAAATGACTTCCATAACACTAAACTAAATACATAAATGAAAGGGCCTGGTGAAGTGGTTTGTGAGAACTGCCATAGGGATCTTTCTACAGATGACTCATCCAAGCAGAATGTGAAATGTTCACAAAAGTTAAAAATAGTAGTGGATGGTACTGGGACCACCAAAGGAGAAACAGAGGGCTTGGTCTGCTAGTTCCTTCATTCAGCTTATGACAATGCAAAGGGGTACTGTCAACTCTAATGCTTCTAGGACTTCTTAACTGTTTTCAGCAGTGTCTGATATCCCAGGTGCCACCAATGCCTCAGGACCACCCACCATGGAGGAGACGGGGAGCAGGACCTGGCTGCTTTACAGCTTGCTTCCTTTGGTGCCATTACTTTTGCTGCTTGCCTGTTTTTGCCTGGTCTGTTTCCTGAAAAGGCACCAAGGTGGGTTGCAATTTCCCTCTGCCCTCATGTGCCACAGATTTGGGGTTTGTTTTCAAGGGCTGATAGATTTTTAGCTGGTTAGTGTTTTCTTTCTGGATAATGACTCCTGGGGAACTACTGGTTTCCACTGGAAAACTATATGCATAAATTTGGTCTTGGGCTAGGCATGGCAAGGTATACTCACCACAACCCCGGAACTTTCTCATTCTATACACATCAATCTTAGGTGTGAAGAAGAAAGCATTCTCATAAGCTCTAACCACATTGAAAGACTGGTTGAAACAATCTCTTCAACCAACATGCTATTCCTTCTGAGCCCTTTCCACAGCTATCCCACATAATTCCAATGATACCCACCCTTATCTAAATAAAGAATCATTGTCCCTAGCAGGAATTCATATGCATTTGTGCTTTCTATTTCTCTTATAAACACAAGCTTGAATCCAGTTTTTACTCAGTAGCATTGCATTTGAGAATGTGAACTTGCCTATAATGAGAGAGCTGTGGTATTTTGAAAAGGGTTGCTTTTTCCTTTTAAAACCATGTCTTCATTGTCACCATTGAACAGTAAAACTCAACAGAGGCATGCTGATCTGGTACATCTAGATTCTCTATTTCCTTGTTCTTTTCCATGTCCCCCCTTTCTATAATAGGAGCACAGTGTAGCTCTAAAGTGGGTAGGACAAAGCATCCCGTGTTTGATGCCACAAGAGAAAGCTTTGTCTGGGCGGAAGTGCTCCTGGATCCCAGAGCCTTTCTGTAGTTCTCAGACATTCTCCTGCAAACCCACCTCTGTATCTGTAACTACACAGCACGGGAAACTGTTCCCCTAAGTTCGTAACAACATCATAATGCAAAATGCATTTAGTCCAACTTCAAAAGTCCCCATAGTCTATCACAGTCTCAATAATGTTTAGATGAACCAAATTCAAAGTCTCTTCTGAGATTCATGCAGTCTCTTAACTATAATTTCCTGTAAAATCAAAATTAAAAAAATAAATCACATACTTGCAGCATGCAATGACACAAGATATACATTACCATCTCAAAATTCAGGAAAGGAATCACAGTGAGGAAATACTGGGTCAAAGCAAGACTGAAAACCAACTGGGCAAACTTCACACTCTGCATCTCCATGTCTGACATCAAAATGTTCTTCAGTTCTCCAACTCTGGTCATCTTTGCTGACTACAACACACTTTTTTCTCTTGGGCAGGTGCTACTCGATGTTAGTAGCTCTCCTTGGCAAGTATCCCATGATTCTGGCATCTCTAATGTTTTAGGATCTCCAGGCTTCAACTTCACAGCTTCACACAAATGCCTCTCTAGGCCCCCATTCAGGGACGCTCTTGACACAAGTGTGACCTCGATGGCTTTTTTTTTTTTTTTGCACAGAGGCAAATTCTATAACCCATTTTGCCAAGTTTTGCTGCTTACTGGGACTAGAACATGAGACCCCCCCCCCCATTCGATTATGTCTCCACTAACTTTCTGTTCTTTACTGTCTTTGCTTGACTGTCCTGAAACTTTCTCCATAGACCAGGTTGGCCTCATACTCAGAGATCTGCCAGCCTCTGCCTTTGCAGCTCTGAAATTAAAGGCATGCACCGCCACACCAATCTCTAAACAAATTAACAAGTTGGAGATTTAGCTGTCCAAAGGCAAAAGCAGCCACTTTCTTCACCAAAATATTACAAGAACAATCTCTAAGAAACATACTAAAATTTTCCTCTGTATCCTCTTGAAGAAGCCCTCCACATTTCACCAATTCACAGTCAGCTCTACTGTCTTCCATGCTCCTACTAGTATGATCCATTAGGCAGTGTTTAAAATATCCACTCTTTCCCTAACCCAAAGTACCAAAGTCTAAATTCCTCCAGACAAGAGCATGGTATGGCCTATCATAGAAATACCGCAGTCCCTGGTACCAACTCCTGTCTTAGGGATTCTATTGCTATGAAGAGACATCATGACCGTGGCAACTCTTATAAAGAAAATATTTAATTGTGGTGGCTCACTTTACAGTTTCAGAGGTTCAATTCTTATCATCATGTTAGGGAGCATGGTGGCATGAACGCAGATTTGTTGTGAGAGTAGTGGCTAAGAGTCCTCTGTCTTGCAGGCAACAGGAAGTTGACTGAGACACTTGGCAGTTTTCTAAGCATAGGAAACCTTAAAGCCCACCCTCACAATGACACAGTTTCTCTAATAAGGCCATATGTACTCCACCAAAGCCACACTTCCTAATAGTGCCACTTCTGTGAGATTATGGGGGCCACTTTACATTCACACAGCCACAATACATATCTCATTGAGTCAATTTGTGTTGTTCATATACATATAGCTGGGGAGAAAGAAGAATTCTGACTTAGCAGAGACTACACACCTAAAAGAACTGACTCTTGCTCAGTTAGCACCCATCATCCGTCATCAGGCTAAAGGTTGCAGGGCTCCTGAATTGGGATTCTGGCTGACTTAATCTTACACAGGTCTGTGGAAGAAGTCAAAGGCGTTGTGAGTTACTTGATACGATGGCATACTCATGGCCAGGAGACAGTTTTCCTCAGTCTGCACCAACCTCTGACTTTCACAGTCTTTCTTCAATGTTATCCGAGCCTTGGAGGAGGAGTATGTCATAGCTGTCTCAAATATCACAGAGCTGACAGCCACACTTGGAGCATTGAGTATGCAATGGCTCCCAACCTTCTGAAACTGTTCTTTACTAGATGCTACTCCTTTCTCTTGGACGTGAAGACTGTTGTGTGATGTAAGGAGTGAGGGGAGGGAAGTGGGCATGTGCATTCTCACAGACTGAGATGTGTGTGGTACATGCTAGCCAGGATAGTTAGGAGGCAAAACTAACAATATGACTGCTGGTGTGCAATGGGGTGGGCATAGTGGGATAGTTTGCTTTGCTTTCTTAACATTGTTTGATATCTTTTTTCCTTCCCTTTTCTCAATCTTTCAGGGAAAGGAAAGAAGAATTCTGACTTAGCAGGAAAGGAAATTAAACTGGTATGTTTGAAGTATCTATTAAGACAAATACATTTTATATTATACCATATGTATTTTTTTCAGTAAGTTTATATGGCATTAACACAAACACACACACTCCAGATTTTTCACAGTCATTATTGTCTGCATAATAACTTATATAAGACAGGGCTCATAAGCAGCTTAGTGTGGAGTGAGAGGAACTCACATTGTAGTCAACAACTGATGCAGAGTGAGAGCCAATTTTCAGTGTGGTCGTTGTAAATAAACCCTCACCTACACTACTACAAACTACCAAAATGAAATTCATTGACAGGAAATCTATCAAAATTGAAAGGAAACAAGTTGGGAAGAGGAAGGCGATTGGGAGGATTGGGAAGGGGTAACAGAGAGCAATGGAGGATGAATGTGAACAAATCTATTGTGTGTGTATATACATTCACACATAAATATATATACATACATATATATTTTTATATAGTTACTATATGGCAATGAAACATAAAAATGTAACAAAGCTGAAAAGTCCAGAGTTATGATCTTATTTCAAAATAGTCCTTCTAAGACAATGGTTCTCAACCTTCCTAACGTTGTGACCCTTAATACAGTTCCTCATGTTGTGGTGACCCCCAACCATAAATTTGCTTCCATTATTACTTCATAACTGTAATTTTACTACTGTTTTGAATCATGATGCCAATATTTTTGGAGACAGAGGTCTGTCAAAGGGCTCATGACCTACAGATTGAGAATCGCTGTTCTAAGGGAATAAAAGCGATTGTGTAGGAAACTCCACTCAGTCACCAAAGGGTGAAGCCTTTGGAAAGTGAGTTATAAATCAGCATGCTTATTTTAAAAGTACCTTACTACTTTATTTTAAAAGTACTTATTGCTAAGTGCAAAAGTATGTAAGGCTAGATGGCTACCTCCGTCTAACATACCCACTGCTTTTATAGAGTGTTACAGGAGAACTTCAGGGGCAAAGAACCATGCTCATGCTAACAGAGTTTTCTAGGAAAGTGAGCCATTCTGGTGAAGAGAGCCAAGTCAACCGACCTGACAGTCTACTAAAGACTGGAAAGGATAGCAGGGACCTTGGTGACATACAGAGAATTCACAGTTCTTTATCCATTCAAATTGACAATTCTCAGTGCCCCACATGTAGGTTCACTTTGTGTGGGGGCACTCTCTGTCTTAGTCAACCCACCCTCGATCTTTCAGACCTCCAGCCTCAGTGTTATTTCCAAGTGCTCACCTCATAGGAAAAGTGTAGCAGATCGGCAGTTACTGCCTCATTTCTCAAGTTAGCACTAAGCATGTTTTTAGAGCAGAGCTTTCCTCAGCAGATATAAGAGAAATCCTTCTGCAAATGTCACAGTGAGACTTACCAAGGACCATAGGAGTACGTCAAAGATCAAGAACCTGATAGCTTTTAGGGAGAGCATAACTTGACCGACAAAGACATTTTAAAAAGTCAGAATAGAGCCCTGGGAAAATGGACAGGTGGGTATAGCACTCTGCAAGCTTGAGGAATGGGTTTGGACCCCCACACTTATCAAATCTGGGTGTGAAACCAAGAGGTGGGGGGATGTAAAAAGAGGCTGAATTGGGTTCATTGGCCGCCCAGTCTAGTTGAAAGGCTAGCTGAAGTACAGCTTCAGTGAGAACACCTTTCTCAATAAGTTAGGTAGAGAGTAATAGAGGAAGAAATCTGACATTGACCTCTGACCTCTACGTGCACTCACATGGGTGAGTGCACCTTACCTACAAACATACAGACTCACCCTCCTCCTCCCATGGCTGAAAGTTAAAACCCTTAATATTAACACATTATCATTTTTACTGTTTGATGTAGGTGGGTCATCTGTCTATGTGTTACTTTCATTGGTTAATAAAGAAACTGCCTTGGCTTTTTGATAGGGCAGGATTTAGATAGGTAGAGTAGACCGAACAGAATGCTGGGAGAAAGAAGCAGAGTCAGGCAGATGCCATGACTCTCCTCTCCGTGATGGACACTGGTTAAACTCATGCCGGTAAGCCACGACCTCATGGTGGCATACAGATTATTAGATATGGGTTAGTCAAGATGTTAGAGTTAGCCAATAAGAGGCTAGAACTAATGGGCCAGGCAGTGTTTAAATGAATACGGTTTCTGTGTGGTTATTTTGTGTAAAGCTAGCCGGGAGCCAGGCCGCAGCCCACAGCACCCTATCACTACAACTGTCCTCACTTTTTGTATAGTCAGGAGCAGCTAACAAGGAACTGAACAGAGGGGGAAAATAACAGAATTCATTTTAGTTTCCACCCCCACCCCCCATCTCACACCATTTAGATCTCTGGCACTATTTGAAAGTATGACGGTTTTCTTATGATAGAGATAACAGCTAGAATAATATTTTAGAATTTAATAGAAACTTTGTTCTTTCAATATTGGCTTCCATTTCCCAGTTTAGTTCTCTGATCATAATGTGTCTTGGATAACCCATGACGCTTCCTGTTCCTGCTCTCCTGAGGAGGTCTCAGGTCTTTTTGCCTTGGGCTTAATCTTTTGGTGTTCTATGCGCCATATGCCGATTGTTATGAACTGCCTAATATTTTTTTATGGGATTAGTTTTCTTACCATGAACTGGACTGTGATTTTTTCCATTGAAAGATCATTCATTGTATGTATTTGTTGTGACCTCAAATGACCCATAATACAGCATAAAGCATCTGCTTGGGAAGAACATAGTGAATTTTAAATGTTTGACCTTTGGGGCTCAGTGGTCAAATGCCTGCCTAACATTCATAAGGACCTGGTCATAAAAAACAAAACAAAACCAAAGAACAAAACACTCCAAATCTAACCAACCCTTTCATCCTTTGATAATACAATGCTTACTGAAAATGTAGATATTAAGTAGCTTACAAGAAGAACAATAGACGGTCTCTTTCAATGTGCATGACATCACGTAGCCTTTTACTCATAGTCTAATAATGAATATGTGTTGTCACGTCCTTACATGGTGCATCTCTTCTCTCTTGTAGGTTGAAATTGCAGTGAGTCCCAGGGAAAATTCCCAAACACTGCCCTCAGAAACTGCCATTTATGATAATGATCCCTGGTCAAGTGGGCAGGAAAGTTCTGAATCCACAACTAATTCACAATCGGAGGGAAACAAACAGGGCATTGTGTATGCTTCTCTTAACCATTCTGTTATTGGAAGGAATCCAAGACAGTCAAGCAACATGCAAGAGTCACCCACAGAATATGCGTCCATTTGTAGGAAAAGTGAACCCTTGCACAGATGCATGGTATGACAGGCTTGTGAATACCATTGTCTGAACCTCCAGTGTCAAATAACCTTCTTCAACCTGGGATTTTCACATTCAGATGCTTCATGCTGGGGCTGTGTCTTAAAAATTCATGGAATACTTAGTTAAAATTTCTCCTGAAAACTCTGAAGGAGTTTTGTACAAGAGCCTTGAACAATAGACTTTTCTCTGGGAAAACTCATAGCACAAATTGCAGCATAATAGAATGTTTAAATCTGACCATGCCTTACCCAACATGTGAATTTAATATTTCCCTTGGGGCTATCAGAGAGACTTACAGGGAAGAAAGAAGAATGTTATTTGGGTCAGCTCACTACACATTCTAGAAAAAGAATGACCCAATTTTTCTAACTAATCATAAATACCGTAATGATTGTATGCTCCCAACCAATCTTCCATGATAAGACAATTTCCCATGTCAATTTATAGCTCATTGTTTTTTTTAAAGTAAAGAAAAATTACCTTGGACTCAATTCAAAAAAAGATTAGAAAGGGTAATTGGTGCAATACAGACACAGAATATGCCAGATAGACGTGGGGGGATGTATATTTCACCACTAAGGTAATGAGATGTTTATCTATACCCTGTTAGATTGAGAAACTCAGGGAGTAAAGGATTCATCAATGAATAGTCAATGCATTTGTAATCCATGCAGAAGTGTTTGGATCAAGTAGAGTAAAGTATGCAAATGTGATGCTATGCTGCTGAACTATTGCACATATGAATTCACGAACAAGAGTCAATGAGATCAGGTATTATAAGGCAAATTCACATTGAACGTTTATACCACTTGGTGCTTTACCTGAGAGCAAACTAGAAGGGTGGTTCATGAAAGGAAAGAGTCTGGAATAGACCAGTAGGGGCTGACATACTTTCATTAATGTCTGTTTCTTGCTCCTTATAAAGTGAATCAGGACAAATCATATGTAATGAAGTATGACATATGGAGATCACTCAGGTTTAAATTCTGACTTTGTAGCTGCTTAAGAGGGTATATTTTCAAATTTCCTGAATTTTCAGATTTCTTGAGTCTAATTGTTTAAAACACAGATCATAATTTTACTCATCAGCTTGAGGCTTGAGTTCTCAGACTCTGAAACTGAATAGCGTCGTCATTTTAGTATACAGTGGATGGCAAGAGCTAGAAGCCACTGGAACAAACACATGAGCGGCTGAATGAGTGAATGTGGTCTATGTAATTGTGCATGTGTGTTTGTTCCTGTGTCCGTACATGCTAACGTGCAAACGCAAGATGTGACTTGCTGAAACAAGACAAGAGAAACCAATCAGATTGCCATCCTATTTTTAGTTTGCTTAGGAGGTACAAAGCACTAGGACAAATTGATCATTAAAGAAAACAAGGTGTGAAGCAGTGCCAATAGGAACGTGACTAGAGAATGTATTCATAAACACAACAGTGAGGCCTCACTGCAAAACCCTCCTCACCAAGTGCTCACATCGGGTTTCAGTTCCCTAGATCCGGAACAGCAGACTTTGTTTTCAGATACTGTTGCAACCAACCGTACGTAAGCTCGTTCAGTTAGGTGCTTTTGTGGGCATTTATGCAAAAAATGCCTTAGAATAGCTGCTTTAACTGCTCATCTTCAAAATAGAAACAGGAAGTATGGGGGATGAGCACAGCACCCTGTCCCTCTTATCAGATCAACCTGGGAGTTGAGCAAGTCTATCAGAATTGTCTCCAACTTTAAAAGCAAACTTCTATTTTGTTTTAAACAATCCTTTAAAAATGTTGTGTGTGTGTGTGTGTGTGTGTGTCTGTAATCTGTGCATGCATGTGTGTGTGTGTGGTGTATGTGTGTTGTGCTGTATGCATACGGGTGTGTAGGAGCCAGAAGAGGACGTCAGGTGCACTTTTCTATAGCTCTCCATTCTACTGTTAGGGAAAGGTCTCACACTGAATCTGGAGCTAAGCTAGCAGACAGGAAGCACTGTGAGGGATCCTTTGTCTCTGTCCCCCAGATTGCTAGGGTTATAGTTGCTCATGCTCGGTTTTTTACATGGGTTGGGGATTTCATACTCAAGCCCTCATGACTGCAGAGCAAGTACTCTTACTTGCTGAGCCCTCTCCTACTCCCCCTATTTAAGATGCTCTTAGCCAGGCAATGGTGGTGCACGCTTTTAATCCCAGCACTTGGGAGGCAGAGGTAGGCAGATTTCAGTGAGCTTGATGTCCGCCTCCTTTACAAAGCAAGTTCTAGGACAGCCCAAGTTGTTACACAGAGAAAACCTGTCTCAAAAGACAAAAAAAAAAAGTTCTTATTGTATTTTATTGTATTTTACAATGAAAGATGAAAGACACTGCTGCTAGAGGCTTCACCTCTATAAATGGTTGATTTTGTTTATGCTTGTACCATGCTTGTCAACTATCACATATCACTTATGTACGTATGTTCTTATTCCTACTTAGTAAATTCATATATCTCCTCAAATAAATCTGATCTAGGATTATTTCCATGTTTATTTAAGTCACAGATGGTAGATAATTTAATGACTTCCATGAACTTTAAGACTGTTGATTGTTCATAGTGAGAAAGTAAAATTGTTAAAATTTACCTGAAATTGAAGAAATGGCAAACTTACAAGCGGCTAAAACGCGAAGCAGAAGACCCCTCCCCTGTCTCGTTCAGCAATCAACTGCCAATAGCTCAGATGGCTGGAGCAGTCAGTGTAAGTCCCTTCCCCATCCGTGAGGGACATCAATGACATGAGTCTTGTGCAGGGCTTGCACAAGCAACCCCAACAGCTGTTGTGAGTTCACGGGTACAACACTCCGGGCATGTGCAGAGACCCGCATTTTACAACACTCCTTCCATCCCCTTCCTCTTCCTTCACCTTTCTTGAGCATTGGAAGGGTGCTACAGAGGTCACATGTATAGGTGAGCACTCAACAGTCACTTATTTTTGACCCTTTGACCAGCTGTCAGTCTCCACGTTGACCACACTCACCACCTTATGAAGCTCCTCTGTCCAGGGCTGAGAAAGGGCCAGATCTATGGGTAGAAAACATCCTTGACCAGCTGACAATTTACTAAGCATTTGCTTTCTCTCTGTTTTTCTTTTATTGAAAATAGTTTTTTTTTCATACAAAATATTCTGACTGCCGTTTCCCCTTCCCCAAGGACTCCAAGACCCTTCCCATTTCCCCTCCCATCCAGACCCACACCAGTTCTGTCTCTGCTTAGAAAACAAACAGACATCTAAAGAATAGTAATAAAATAACACAAAACCAACAAATCAAAGTAGGACAAAACAAACAGAAGAAAAATCACAGGAAATACAGATGGATGCATTGAAACTTATGTTCACACACATAGTAATCCCATGAAAACACAGAACCAGAAGCCATAATATAAACACAAAAACCTGTAAGGGTAAAAAAAATATGCTCTGACAAAACCTTGTGAGGCATAGAGACCCCAAAGACTCCATTGAGTTCATTTTGTGTTGCCCACCTGTGCTGAACACGGGGACTGCCCTTAAGAGTAGTTTGTATATCTGGTAAGATTATGTTGGAGAAAATTAATTTTCCATTTGTGAAGGGTTATCAGTTGGAGACAGCTTCTGGGTAGGTATGGGGCTTGTGTCTCATCTGGTACAGACTTGTGCAGGCCCTGTGTATGTTGCCTCAGTCTCTGTGAGTTCATGTATGTGTCTGTCCTGCTGTGTCTAGAAGGCCTTGCTTTCTTGGTGTTCTTCTTCCCCTGTGGCCCTTACATTCTTTTTGCATCCTATTATGTAGGGTTCCCTGAAAGGAGAAATGTTATGGAGACATCATAGGACTGAATGTTTCAAGGTCTCTCATTCTACATATGTCTGGCTGTGGGTCTCTGTACTTATTCACATTGGCAACACAAAATTAACTGAATGGTATTTTTGTAGATGTTTTGTCTCATATTGCCTTGTTGCAATTTTTTTCCTTACTAGTATTTTGCTTGTAAATTATAGTTTATGATTTTGTGTTCTTAATGGGTTTTGTTTGTGTTTGTGAATGTGTGTGTTTCTTGGGCTTTTTCTTTTAAAAGAAAATTCTTTACTCTGCTGTGTTCTCTAGAGAGATAAAGACAGAGTGTGGAGTTGAGTGGGGACAGAAGATCTGGGAGGAGCTGGGGGAGGGGAAATCATATTCAGAACATATCTTATAAAAATATTTTCAATGAGACCATATAAAGAATTAAAGTAATTAAAAATTAAAACTTTTCATCAGAACAAATATTAACAAGAAAGCACAGAAGTTTTCCATGTGTTTTCTGTAATGTGCACAACTGACCTCCACCATCATCCTTCGGGAAGAAACTATTAGTTCAATGAGAACCAATGCTGAGATGTCACTACCAACCAAAGTTTCTAGTGTACCTTAGGATTGATTCTTGGTATTCTTGTTTCCATGGAGTTCAGACTTGTAGAATGACCTGTGTCCATCATTCTTGTGACATGAAGAATAACTTTATAGACTTGTATATGACCTGTAGTCATCATCAGGGTGACATGAAGACTAACTTTATAGAATTTACCTTCCCACATACTGTGCTCCACCTATCTAACCCTTCTGTCCTCTTAACTCCTGGAAACTGTGTAATCTGTGTATTGTGTCTGTAGCTTTGCCTTTTCCAGAACAATTGCAGTCACATCCTATGTGTCTTTTTCATATTGGCTTCTTAGATGCAGTAATGCGTTAGTTCCTTCATGTTCTTTTTCACATAGCTTAAGAGTTTATTTCTGTTTAAAGATATTTCATAGCTTGAACAACTTAGAGTTTATTCGTTCTCCTTCTGAAGGGAATCTTGGTTGCTTCCAAGTTTTGGTAATTTTGACATGTTATAAACATCCATACAGAAGTCTTTGTGTAGGAATAAATTCTTATTTTATTTGGATAAAAGCCAAAGAGGATGACCGTAGGCCTGAGGTTGTGTTTACTTTTGTAATAGCTACTACAATGGCTATGTCATTTTATGCTTCCACCAATTTTCTGGCCAACATTTGATGTCCTGTTTTGGAATTTCATCATCCTAATGTTTAGCTATAATATCTCATGGTTGTTTAAATCTTAAATTCCATAGTGGTATGTGTTCCTTGTTATCTTTAGAGGCTTATTTTCCTTCTCTGGATCTTCTTTGCTGAGGTATGTGTTCAAATGTCTCATCCCAATGTACAGTTCATGTTCTTAAGTCCATGCTAATTGTTGAACTTATTTGTTATGAAGACTACCATGTTAGACTGCAGACTTAAAAATTATTTTATATATATGGGTGTATTGCTTGCATATATGTATATGCACACAAGCTGTCTTGTGCGCTCAAAATCTAGAAAAGGACATCAGATCTTCTGGAACTGGAGATAGAAATGGTTTTAAGCAGCCTTTTGGGTGATAAAAATTGAACCTGTGTCCTCTGGAAGAGCAGTCAGTGCTCTCAACATCTGAGCCATCTCGCCATCTCTATCTGTGGGCTTCTTTTTTGAAAGTATTTTTAAAAATTATTTATTAAATTTACAGTCCTCCTTCCACTCTTCCAAGTCCCTCCTCCCACCTCCCCTTTGTCCTCCCCACATCTCCGCCTCCATTTCTATTCAGAAGAGGGCAGGCCTCCCATGGCTATCAACAAAGCATGGCCTATTAGGTTGCAGTAAGACTAAGCACCTTCCCCTTGTAGTCAGCATACAAGGAGAACCAGTATGAGAAATTTCTCATGTTGGATGAGCCATCTCTCCGTACCTATCTGTGGACTTAGGTGTTAAATATTGTCACATTCCCGGTGAGCTTCATAACACAGTGCTTGGCGTACATTATAATTAGTGTTGAATGTTTATGGTGAAACTCATCCACTTCCTTCATATGCAAAGGATGACCTTATTGACAGATGCATAGGATCTCTTGGGAGCTCATTAGGGTGTGAGGGAAATCACACTCCTCACACCCTAAACAGGAGTCCCCATTTGAACAACACACGCAGGTTGGGCACACTTTGTGGACCTCACAGTTCACAGGGTCTTTGTGAGCCTCTGTCCCCACCCTCAGTCAAGTGTGGTAGGAAGGAAAGATACATTTATAGGAGAGATGAACTGGAAAGTTCTATTTTAAGCAGGCACAGGAAGGGCCTTACCACCCCACTCAGAAAGTAAAAATGACAACTAAGAACGAAAACGCAACTTTTTTTTTTTTTAAAGAAGCATGTGCCAAAGAACTTGAGAATATGAGAACTGCAAGTTCTGTGCTAGAAATCAACGTATAGCCTGAAAAGCAAATTATAGATGTTGAATTTTAAAATGATGGAAACATTCTGTGTGCGTTGCTTGGCCTGTTTTTATGAGCACATACTTGCACCTCCTGGTTTGCTGGCTTGAGACTACACGATGGACAAAGAGCCTCTCTCTGCATGACACTGCGCACAGATGGATCAGGAGGAACTGAAGAAAATGTCTAATGCAGGTGCTAAATGATGTTGTATAGGTAGATGCAGAACTTGTACAAACCCGACGGAGTTCTCAGTACCTTGAAGGTAAAGCTTGCTTCTTTACTAGACTCCTAATTCCCTAGGAACTGCCTGAAGGGCTATGAAGAAACCCCAGTCCACCACATTCCCCTCTCTGTACCAATCTTTAACCAAATACGAAATGGGGAGTCAGACCAGGAAAATTATCAATATCAGAAGTAAAAATGAATTGACGAGCATGGCTTAAGCCCAAACAAAACCAGTTTCCTGCAATTTCCTTTCTAAACCCTGCTTGACCTTGTGCTCATACACAGATCAAGCTGATCTACACAAGAGATGCTCCAGTCCTGTGGAGGGTGCCAGCTGGCTCTGAGCTTTGATTGCAGACCAGGAGGGACCGGATTACAACTTCTGACCTTTAATATAAGAGTTTCTTTCCGAGGTTAATGCAGTCAAAGGGGCAAGAGCCCCGTCTCTCGGAGCCAGCTACACGTCTGGGTGTGCCTGAGCAGAGGATAGGCCAGACAAAGATCCTATTTTGTGGCTAACATAAAGCCATGAGGAAATCAAAAGAATGGTTTCTTGTTTATTTGAGTTTATAATAAGAGTGCACAAAACGTTATACTAATTACTAGGTGGAATAAAATTAAAAGTGCACTTCTTTGGGAGAGATCAAAGAAAGAGGATTTGTGCTTTCTCTTCTTCCTAGACCAAAGAGAGGAAATTTTAACTGGAGATAACCACTTTAAGGGTATAGGACATTTTGAAAAGTGTTTCTATTGGTGCACACACAAACACACACACACACACACACACACGCACACACACACACATAATGTAACTATATAATATATTATTAAAACATTAATTATATACACTAATTGGTTTCATTGTCCAATTTTTCTACATATATGTAATATATTTTGATCATGTTTACCCTCTGGTCATCTTCCCAACTAGACCACCCACTACTATCATGCCCTTTTTGGATTTTGTTAGTTTTCAGTGACTCTATGAGTA